GTTAACTCTAATTTGTATGGAGTTGAAACGTTTGCCGCTAGGGGCGCTGTTCCAACTCCATACAAATTAGAGTTAACTTTTACTCGAGTTAAAAACTCGCACTAAGCTTTTTTTTATTGCTTACGTGGGTGGACTTGCTCACGACCCACCTGATGTTAAGTGGTTATCGAAGCCCATAGATATCTACAAAGTAAATGCCGCCACCCACCCTGAGACATCAGTTCTGAGGTCTCCGTTTTTACAGTGCAGTAGCTGCCCCACCATTCAAACCGAAACTCATTACTGCTTCCCGGCAGAAATAGACAGGGCGGTGATACCTACCCGCGCGGACTCACAAAACTTCCTACCACCACTAATTACGCAAATTAAAATTTTGCGGTTTGATTTCTATTGCCGAATGTTATTCCTTCACCGTGGAAGTCAATCGTGAACATTTATTAAGTACGTGTATTTCATTAGAAAAATTGGTACCCGCCTGCGGGATTCGAACACCGGTGCATCGCTATATACGAATGCACTGGACGTCTTATCCTTTAGGAAACACCGAATTCAAAAATACGAAATACGAGTGACTATTGTCGCACAAAACATTTCGACTCGAGCAATGGAACGGAGCGGAGCCCTCTGTTTTTATCTTTGCATACTACATTGGAAAAGTGAGTCTTAATAATCGTCACTGTTTTTTTATTTATTGCTTAGATGGGTGGACGAGCTCACAGCCCACCTGGTGTTAAGTGGTTACATCTACGACGTAAATGCGCTACCCACCTTGAGATGTAAGTTCTAAGGTCTCGGTATAGTTACAACGGCTGCCCCATCCTTCAAACCGAAACGCATTACTTCTTCACGGCAGAAATAAGCAGGGTGGTGGTACCTACCCGTGCGGACTCACAAGAGGTCCTACCACCAGTAACTATTGCTGACGTCATCATTTTAAAAACACCATGGAAACAGCCTCTCCGTTATATAAATATGTATATAATTGAATCTTTGAATTCCTTGCGCACACAAGACTATTGTTAAAATAATAAGAAATATAAAACTATTTCTTTTACAATGACGTGACGAGCTAGGCGTGACGGCGACTCGTTCTAACGGATTTTATGAGGCTTTAATTAAAGGTTGTTCAAGGTCACGATCGGTTACCGAGGAGAGCCTTGGCGTGATGTCACGATCGTACCGTCGCGCCATCAACGTGATTTTCCTATAGGACTAAATCGGTCAAATAGTCTACCTAGTATTACCGCCAATGTATTTTCCTAGTGCACTATTTTTGGAGGTATAAGACAAAAAAAGTAAGATCGTCTGATTGTTGTTTTTTTCCTACCTAAGCTGATAGCCTTGAGAGGCAATTTCAGCGTAACTTTAACTAGTAGGTGAGCTCACGGGGCTCTAACCTGATGACGTTGCTAACACAAACTCTAGAAAGAGCCGTGCTTCGCAGAATCTACCACCGGATCGGAAAGGCGACCCACTGAGAAGATCCAGCGACAAACTCAGTGGGCTCTGTCTGAGGGTTAATTTCCTCGTCGAGCCTTTCACAAGCGACGAGTTCGACGAGAACGATGACTTGTGCTTGAGGTACCTAAAAGCACCGTTAGTGGATCGGGAGGATCCGCAATGACGTGTTTGGGGCGACGTCGACTGCTTTCCATTCTGTCCACAGGATCGGGAATGAGCCGAATGTTGTTGTTCAGAGCTTGTATATATGTAAGCTTATCTTTTTTTTTTTTATTGCTTATATGGGTGGACGAGCTCACAGCCCACCTGGTGTTAAGTGGTTACTGGAGCCCATAGACATCCACAACGTAAATGCGCCACCCACCTTGAGATATAAGTTCTAAGGTCTCAAGTATAGTTACAACGGCAACGGCTGCCCCACCCTTCAAACCGAAACGCATTACTGCTTCACGGCAGAAATAGGCAGGGTGGTGGTATCCACCCGCGCGGACTCACAAGAGGTCCTACCACCAGTAATTACGCAAATTATAATTTTGCGGGTTTCATTTTTATTACACGATGTTATTCCTTCACCGTGGAAGTCAATCGTGAACATTTGTTGAGTACGTATTTAATTACAAAAATTGGTACCCGCCTGCGGGATTCGAACACCGGTGCATCGCTTTAACACGAATGCACCGGACGTCTTATCCGTTAGGCCACGACGACTATTATACATTGAAATTGTCGTAAGCGAGATTTAGGCATCTGTAAAATATCTTGTGTTCTGTGATGGCTACTCGCCACTATATTCATTAAATAAATAGTCTACCTAATATTACAGCTTACAGCCAATGTATTTTCCTATTGCACTTTAAGGGTCAAATAGTCTATTCACTATCTATTTACAATAATAAACACCCAGAGCAAACATACCTGTGCATCAAACGAATGTTTGCCCGATGTGGGAATCCAACCCACGACCCTCACCGCATCAGTCATGGCGTAGAAAAGTTAACCTCAAAGTTATCGGTGTCAAGGACTGGAAGGAGGAAACCCTGTACAGAGCATTCAGGAGAGACATACTAGACCAGGCTAAGGCCCACCCTGGGCTGTAAGGCGTTAGATGATGAATATTATAGTGAAAAATATACTAGACGAGCGAGTCGAAATCGAAAACTAAATAGGTATCTCTGCCTACATTACAGATTGCAAAGCTAAACACGCTGGCCGAATGCTAAAATCACAAATTCCAACACGAAACATCATAAGAACAACTTGAAATGAACACAAAACGTATCTTTAAGTATATGGCGATAAGGTAGGTGTTCGTATTTTATTACTAGACTACTTAGACGGTTTGTTGCGGTGTCCGCGTCGTGAAATGTTAGCTAGTTGAAAGCCAGTTTTGTTATTAAGTCGGAGTGACGTCATTTTACCTGTCCTCCGTTTCCTAGAAGGTCTAAGCTAACTCAATACACCGATTATGAAAATTATTTTGATGTGGCAATTCGTGATTTTATAAAAAAAAAATCCTACCTAAGCTGATAGCCTTGTTAGGCTATGTCAGCGTAACCGGGAGAGTACGTGAGCTCACGAGGCTCAAACCGGGAGTGTTGCTGACAAGGCCCTAGCAAGAGCAGTGCTTCGCAGAATCTACTACCGGATCGGAAGCGCGATCCAATGATAAGATCCGGTGAGAAAGTCAGTGGGCTCTTTATCATTAAGAGTATTTAAAAGCTACAGTTAAACAGTGTATGGTTTATGAACTCCTACGAGATCCTCGCGCCTAGGGGGCGCATGTGTGACTGGACGCTGATATTAGAAGAGGATCACGGGTACAAGCATTTATTACAATTGCAGTGATCGCGCTGGTAAGCTCCAACGGAACAAGATGACATTTACTAAGACGTGACGTAATGCGCTCTGATTGGTGTTTAAGCTATAATGGCTGATTGTTGTATTTTCAAGATTTATTTTAACAAATAAATCATAGATCTTGTCATTAATATGAGAATAAATACAATTTTCAAAATCCTTGAATCCTGTTTCATTAGATCAGTTAAATATTTTGGCTATACTTGACTACTGTCATCATGCTTATTTAGGGTCCAACAAACTAAATGACTCCCCTGCTCTCTCGCCCAGCCGGCGGAGGCTTCAAAGCGAAACGAAGGCACTGGACATCGGCCGTGTGGTCCATGCAGCTGTTGTCCCCAGATACCACGCTGGGTCAGAACCAGCCTGCCAGATCGGGACGCGTAACATCGCCAACCAGTCGCACTTTTCACGATGATGGCATTTCTTTTTGGCAGCGCGCTATAGTGCTGACCTTAGGTCACCTTCACCGGAGGGAGGGAGGTTCGATCCCCTACCCAAAAAAGTGGCTCAACCTGCGAGAACACGTTAACACTAGTTCTACCAAGAGTAGTGCTTCCCATTCCCTTCCAGAAACCATTTTAATATAATCTCTCTCTCTTTTTCTCTCTCTCTTGCAGTTAGAACAGCGCCCCTAGCGCCAAATGTAGGCAAGTGTAGCTCCATACAAGCTTAAGTTAGCTTTTACGCTATCGAGAACATTAAAAAACTCGCACTAAGCACACTGGACCGTATTATATTCGTATATTGTTATGCCACATCGCCACAAATCGTTCGTCCGTGTTCACGACCACGCGTTGTTGGATCATTCGTATTTTTGGGACCAATGTGTGGTATTTGAACGGCATTGCGATATACGTAGTCATGGCAATATTGCGACAACTAAGTTTTATCTAAAATTTATTTAACGTAGCCTTTACTGTGTATGTGTGTGTAGGCTAGCTTGTCCATTTATAAATTTACTAGCCGTACTCGCCCGCTTCGCTGGGCATTTAAAATTAACATCATTATTGTTATTATTATTATTAGGGAGTCCAACACTCATATAAATATTAGCCTATCCATTAAGTACATGTATTTTCTACATGGATACGAAGTTTCAAGTCAATCGGATATCCATTAAGTACATGTATTTTCTACATGGATACGAAGTTTCAAGTCAATCGGATGCGTGGTTCAGTAGTTATAACGGAACATCCGTAAAAACCACTGTAGATTTATATGTTAGTATCGATATGTTTGTTTAGATAAAATGGATTATGGTTTTTATTGATTTATTTATTTTATTTAAGCTACCACGGTCCTCATCCAAAGAAAATCATAAATATTGTGAAGTTTTGAAAGAAATTAGCATTTTAATTTTAATTAGGTACTTTTTTTTATTGCTTTGATGGGTGGACGAGCTCACAGCCCACCTGGTGTTAAGCGGTTACTGGAGTCCATAGACATCTACAACATAAATGCGCCACCCACCTTTAGATATAAGTTCTAAGGTCTCAGGTATAGACTTACTTTGCTTAAGTCGACACCTGTTGATGAGTAGAAAAACTAAAAATGCATCACCACCTATGGTTTGTTTTGCTGTACTAAATGAACTGTTGAAATTTTATTTACGGAGCTTTACATGGAAGCAACCAATAGATGGCAGCATAAAATTCGCAATGGAGTGCGCATGTCAAAAATACATGTCATTCACATTTCATTTTATTTTGTGATATCGCGAAAACGAGGTTGATTTTGTTCGTAATTCGCGTACGCGGTGGTTTCAGGCATGAGCTCCAGCTTTTTGCGAGCCATCGTGTTAATTCATCTATTCGATTAAGCGGACATTAAAATGTGCTGATAAACGGTGATTGAACTGACTGCAAATATTTTTTCACCATACCTCCTCGACTTTTCGCTTCTTAAGTTCCGCGCGAACATTTTTTGTGTTTTGGTTACATGAACATTATGTGATTTGTTTTCCGTGTTAACACTGAGTAGCAACTTCTATTTTTGACAACGTTCGTGCTAAATATAAAACTTTCCTTAGGCTGTTTTGATGAATTACATCGGGCGTGAGGTGGAATTGCGTAAGTAAAACATTATATTTTGTTTATTTCTGCTCTTCCTGGCTGTATTTCTGTTCCTTGTTTTCCCTCTTCCTTTTGTTTCCCACAATAAAGTGATTACGGCAATTCAAAATTCAAAATTACAATACAAAGCGCAAGCCCGCCATAAATACAAATATTCAACTTTGTCATCAAATTTAACCTGTCAGTAATTATCTCCTTTACCTTTCTTACTTTACAAACTTATATAAGTACAAGTTTTAAAAAAAAAATATTACAAATGTTGATTTTCCAATGAGTAAATTGCAATTTTAAAAAATAATTACATGGGATGTCATGTGAAGTTACAGTTGTATTGGAACCAATGCTATATTGCCCTTTAAAATGAAGGATATTGTTGTCCAGGCTCACCAGTATGTATTGAGCTTGACATTCCTGTAATGGAATACTATAAATTGAGCAAAAATGGTTAAGAACATTATAATGTGAGTGATACATGTAGATTTAAGTTTTGATGATTGGCCTGCCTCCTGGAACCAAATGGAGTGCAAAAACAAATAAATAGAAATATTATTACTCTTAAATGTTAAATATTATATTATTATATAAATGGTCAAGCCTGCTGCCCGTAGACATACTGTGGAGAGCAAAAGCGATGAGGTGAAAGTCTTGATAGCATATTCTTACTCTTCAAATTCTGATGCCCATCTGTATTGACTCACAACACATCTGACCAACAAAATATTAATTAAGAATATTATCACATTAAATTTTTTTTTTTAAATGTTTTAGTGTATGCTCACAGTTGGGCATTATCATCATAGAAATTGCAGTGTTATCGGCCTTGATGCAATTAGAGTTTTGGCTAATTTTTTATTGTACATGCCATTTTATATGTGCATATTTGTGAACCTTTAACAGTAACACTACTGCCTAAGTAAACTATAAAGCTAACCGTTGTGATATTAACAAAAAATATGGACCGTTTATTTTGAAAGTGGTGTAAGTCATTTTCTTTTGTTTCGAGAAAATTAAAGGTTACTATATTTGTTGATCTAAAAATACAGGCAAATCATATGAGGTCTGGCTATGCCACCTACCTCTGTCAATTGGACTTACACCACTTTCAGAATCGATCATTATGCAATTTCATTTACCAACCGATTTTAAATTGTACAAAACATGGGATTTTTTTGAGAAATTAAACACGGACTAGTTATATATAACAAAACATTACATTAAATTAAGCATGAATTGCGTGATAGCTCATTTCTCTCAAAAATGGACTTACAACACTTTCAAAATAAACGGTCCATATGACTCAATTTCCTGACAAACATAAATGTGTATGGTGGATATTAATTCTCAATATTAAAATTATAACAACCAAAATTCTAATATACAAGGGACTTCGGTATAGTTTATTAAACACAACATATCAAAGCTTACACGAAAATACTTAAGGCTACTGATAGAAAGATGTATCCTTCATGAATAGCGGTACTCTTAGGAGTACTAGTCTAATTGTCTAGACAATTCTCCCAATTTTTACCATGAATGAGGAGAGCTGAAGAATAGGCTCAGTGATATGCGTGACAATGTACCTATATAGTTTGTAAATTTCCAAACATTTTATATAAGCATTCTATTATTAAAGTAAAAACAAATTCAGTGCACTCGTTCATTAAGTTATTGTCATTATGGTTCATATTTACAACCAGGCATCACTCCTGATTCTACCCTCTTTAAATTTAGAATTAAATGAACGTACTCAAAATGATCGCCATAGTTCAGGTTTAAGAATATTATGAAAAAAATAAAACTGTTATATCAAGTCAGGCCCATTCAACATCATACAATAATGTTTAAAAAATAATAATCTAATATTAAAAAAAAAAAAGACATACCTGCCGAGTTAGTTGAAGAAGCCGCTGTGGCCTAACGGATAAGACGTCCTCCGGTGCATTCGTGTTGAAGCGATGCACCGGTGTTCGAATCCCGCAGGCGGGTACCAATTTTTCTAATAAAATACGTACTTAACAAATGTTGACGATTGACTTCCACGGTGAAGGAATAACATCGTGCAATAAAAATCAAACCCGCAAAATTATAATTTGCGTAATTACTGATGGTAGGACCTCTTGTGAGTCCGCGCGGGTAGGTACCACCGCCCTGCCTATTTCTGCCGTGAAGCAGTAATGCGTTTCGGTTTGAAGGGTGGGACAGCCGTTGTGACTATACTAAGACCTTAGGGCGTGGACACATGTCTACGGTGCGGCGCCGGCTACCGTTGAGATGGCGCGGCACGGTGCCGTGTACGGTGCACCGCACCGGCACATGGCAGTAACTCGATCACGAGACGTATTATTCTGCTCCTGTTGCTAATACGACGAATGAAAAAAAAAACAGAATCAAAGAAAATATTGGNAGTGCGGCGCCGGCTACCGTTGAGATGGCGCGGCACGGTGCCGTGTACGGTGCACCGCACCGGCACATGGCAGTAACTCGATCACGAGACGTATTATTCTGCTCCTGTTGCTAATACGACGAATGAAAAAAAAAACAGAATCAAAGAAAATATTGGTTGATCATTTTAAGAGGAAATATGAAGCGCGATCCATGTTAAGACAGAAACTGTATTGGAAACTGTGGTTGCTGCCATGTGCCGGTGCGGTGCACCGTCCACGGCACCGTGCCGCGCCATCTCAACGGTAGCCGGCGCCGCACCGTAGACATGTGTCCACGCCGTTAGAACTCATATCTCTAGGAGGTTGCCGGCATTTACGTTGTAGACGCCAATGGGCTTCGGTAACCACTTAATACCAGGTGGGCCGTGAGCTCGTCCACCCATCTATACAATAAAATAAATTAAAAATCAAGTTTAATGGTTTCCTAGGCGGTTCATTGTATACACGAATATTTAATGGTCAATTTCTAGTGAAATAAATAAGTATGTAATGTGGGTAGATCGGAATGAAGTATCTATATATTAATACGTGAAGCAAAAACTTTGTATCCCTTTTTACGAAAATTGCGCGGACGGAGGAGTGTGAAATTTTCCACACTTATAGAGAATATAGAGAAGAAGTGCACAATGCTAATATTTTTTTAAAATAATGCATAAAAGATACATTAAATCGATAAAGAAAACATTACACACACTACATACCATGTATTTGACGCACACACGTATGCATAGTATTTATTGTCAAACTTTTAATCTTGACGTCTGTTGTCAAATTGAGAATAGATTAAATATTGTTTGTCTTTGTTAATATTTTTTATAGCGTAGTCTTGGCGAAATTTGTGATTATAGAAGTATAAAATACAATCATAATAGTGTAAAAACTTACAATTCCAATTAATTATAGTCGAATTTCGACTACTGCGGGACCACTAGTTAATTTTAATACACTGTATTGACGTGGACACATGAGTGCTATCTATCATTTAATCAACTTACGTCATTTTGTAATGTACTCTTTCATGTGCTTCATGTAAATAAATATACTGCCCTGGATATGAAAATCTTTTTAAACGACCTATTTAAAAAACATATATCGGTTACTAGTATCTATAGTGTACTAATTTATAATTACTAATACAAAATTCTGGATTATTTACTATTAAATCTCGCTAAAACGCGCTGAATGGATTTCAATTTAAGTTCACACAAGTATAGCCTATAACCCGGATTGGCCGGCGATATTTTTTATCATCGTAAATGACATGACCGGTTCAACTTTTTTTTCTTCTACCTAAGCTGATGGTCTAGAGAGACCATATCAGCGTAACTTTAACTAGCAGGTGAGCTCACGGTACTCAAACCTGACGACGTTGCTAACACGAACCATAGCAAGATCCGGCGAGAAACTGCAATGCGACCACACCAGGATTCGAATCTTTTTTTTATGATTGAGGGCTTACGGGATTACTGGTGGCCCTGAGGCCTTTCCAGTTACACCAGGCTATGTGGGCGAGCAAGGGCTAAGCCAGGAGGGGTGGGATTTGCTAACAGCTGCCCGAGCGCCTCCGAAGGAGACCTAACAACTCAAGAGCAGTTCCTTCTATACCTATACTTAGCCAATAATACAGTACAGTGAGAACGTGCCGGTAACAATATATGGTGCGCGATATTGTTGTGCTATGAGCTATATACTATATGCTATTATATTATAGGGTTGTCTGAAATCGGCTTAATACATCTTTAGGTTTCGACCTCACGTTAAAAAAGCTTGTATTGAAGCCGAGAGAGGTGTACAGGTTTCGCTTATAAAAAAATTCTTTTAATTACCTAAAATAACTAAAGAAAAAGCGCTCCTAAAGTCCTTCTTTTAAAAGAGTTAAATACAAACCGGCTTGGAAAAAAGTGTTTCAAAGTTCCGGAGACTTTAACAAAGAATTTCTGAAACCTTAAAAGGAACTTTGGTGTTTCGTTAACAATACGAGATCACGTATAAAGTAGCTTTGAGAACAACTTTTAAAAAGTCGAGATTTTTTTCGTATATATATTTTTTTTTTTTTCAATTCAAATATTCCTTAGGTATTTCGAAAGAAATGACTCGTGACTTGGAGGATTCTTGGGTCTTCGGTAACGCTTTCCGTGACTGTAGCGTCTAAAGCTTGTTTTAGCGTCGTAATGTCGTAAGATCTTGAGCGACTTGGCGATAAAGTATCAAGCTCTAATAAGGCTGCGTCGTCCTTAAAAATCGGAACGGTTTTTTTTTTTTTTTCCTACCTAAGCTGATAGCCTTGAGAGGCTATTTCAGTGGAACCTTAACTAGTAGGTGAGCTCACGGGGCTCAAACCTGATGACGTTGCTAACACGAACCCTAGCAAGAGTCGTGCTTCGCAGAATCTACCACCGGATCGGAAACGCGACCCACTGAGAAGATCCGGCGAGAAACTCAGTGGGCTGTGTCTGAGGGTATCGGAACGCGAAATTGCTTTGCGGCAGGCTGGGATACCAGACCGCTCGTAGGCTGCTTTTGCCTGCCATTGCTGAAGTCCATGGGCGACGG